TTGGTATGAATATTCAAGAAATCTTATTACTGAAAAATAGGCGCCCTACGGGAGGAAGTTGCAAATTTTGCTTAAATAAGGTTTCTCGAATATTCACACCTGCAGGTGAAAATAGAAAAATATACTGTTTGAAAAATAAATGGATCACGTATACACCTATTCAAACACGCGTATCCCCTATGAATGACACTCTCTCCCAATATCTATCTATCTTTCTATCAATTTATCTATCTTGCTAAATATATATATGTATATATATATATATATATATATATATATATATATATATAGAGAGAGAGAGAGAGAGAGAGAGAAGTATAATGGTAAAGCTTAAAATTACCTAAACTCTTAAATTATAAAATATACTGAAGGCTCAATGCCAAAATAGTTAGAGCCTAAATTATACCATATTTATGCGCAAAAGTTATCAGTATCACTGATACAGCCAATCTAAATATAAATATAAACGTGGGCACTGATGACAAAAGCGAGTGGTTAGAGTCTATTCCCTGTTTAGTGCTATGACCATAGCCGAATATCTGCGTACAAGCATGAAGGAAACACGGCCGACATTCGTTTATTTCCAACCGTGACGACTCATATATATATATATATATATATATATATATATATATATATATATATATATATATATATATATTTACAGGGATGATGGTCTCATTATTATACCTAACTCTAATGGACCCTAACATCCCAATTACAGAAGAAAGTAATTAAGGCATTCAAATATATAGGCTTTAAAATAGAAATATCATCTAACCTGTAAATAGTAAATTTTCTAGACGTAACATTTGATCTTGAAAATGACACTTATAAACCAATCGCCCATATACATTAATATCGACTCAACCCACCCTATAACAATTATAAAACAGATCCCCAACACTGTAAATACTAGAATAAATAAACTATCCTCTAGTGAAAGTATCTTTGATCAAAATAAATAAACATACAATCAAGCCCTATTGAAAAGCAGATTCAAACAAACACTCACTTATATAGATAAATCTATTAACAACACATCTTCTAAATCTAAAAATAGAAATAGGAAAATTATATGGTTCAACCCACCCTATTGTAAACTTTCGAACATTAATATAGGAAAATATTTTCTTAAATAGATAAACATTTTAAAAAAGATAATTTAGTAAAAAAGATGTTCAGTAGAATGAATCTTAAAATTAGTTATTCCTGTATAAACAACATAGAAAAAATTATTAGCTCCCATAATAGTAAAATCTTAAATGAATTTTATAATCAACTACGAAAAGATCCTAATACTAGCCCAAAGACCAAATCGACCTGTAGCTGCAGGGAAGGATCTGTTTGTCCAGTAGATGGAGTATGTCTTTCCGAAAACGTGATATACGAGGCTAAGATTTTCCCCAAGGAGGATATTGAACAAAAGAAGATCTACATAGGCATTTCGGCGGGAAATCGGAAACAAGGTTTTTATAACCATCGCCAATCATTCACTAATAAATCGAAAAAGAATCAAACTGCACTTTTTAAGCACTATTGGGAGTTATTGGAAAACAAATTAACCCCACAAATAAAATGGAAAATCATCTCAAAAGTTAAAACTCCGATAAATTTCAGAGACCGATGCAATATATATATATATATATATATATATATATATATATATATATATGTGTGTGTGTGTGTGTGTGTGTGTGTGTGTGTAAATGTGAGTGTGTGTATGTATATGGGTATATGTGTGTATACGGGCATGATTTGGTTTTAAATAGAAGAAATTAGATCATTATAATGGCGTTTAAATTTACTATTCTTAATATTTAATATCATCTTATCTTGTAATGCTCTATAATTAGTTTTGTTGAGTATATTTTTATCTTCTAAAGGGAATTTCTTTTAAAAATGATGATTTAAATTTACCTTTATTTAACTAGCAATAATAAAATTCAAAATTTCAAATTTCCTTTAATAATATGTAACACTTCAAAAATCACCTAAATTTAAACTTTAACTATGGAATCAAACTTAAATATAAATAAATTTCTAATATTAAAATGTAGATTATGATTGTGAAATGTATATATAATTTATGTATGAAGATGAATGATCTTTTGTGTATATTGTTACATGTGTGTCTATGAGTGTATTTGTACTTGTTAATGAGAGTATGTATGTATAAATTTATAGAAATATATTTGTGATATATATATATATATATATAAGAGAAAAAACAAAATCTTTAATATTACCCTCTAATACCATTAAATAATGAAACCTAAACCTTAATTAAGCTTACCAATATAACAATAAATAAAAATTCCATTCACAAATTATTTGAGATATTAAAATAATATAGATGTTATTGTTACCGTATTTTCTTCCTATATTGTGGAAACACAATTGGTCGGGTAAATGAACTATTGTAATTTTAAATATTAATATTAAATATAGCAGTGTTTAACGTATGTTTCAGTAAAATGGAAAAAAACCTTTTTCCTAAATTTGTTAATCTCAAATGTTTAACAATGCAACAGGGGAGTTTCTATGGCTAATTAATTGCCGTGAAACTTGCCACGAGCTTAAACAATCATTAACTTAAATAAGAATTTCTACTTAAGCATACAATGTAAATAAGTTACTAATATAATTAACATAAAATATTATTAAAAACATAATATCAGCTCATTATTAATAGCATGGCTATAACATTCTACAATATAAGGTAAAACCATTGTTAATAACATTCTTGTAAACATCTACCAATTATAAAATGTAAATTCATTATTAATTACAGTATAAAATACTATTAATTATATTATGTACACGGATATTTTTTTTACGATTTATTGCGATATTCCGGGCTAACGATTTCTGTTCGTATGAAGCGGAAAGATTATATTCAGTTTTCTGCTAGGAATGTTGGCTCACTGAGTTGTGCTCGGAAGTTTCTTCTCGTCAGAATCTAGCGTTTAGTCCTTTAGGATTAAATCTTTATAAATTTACCATTCGTCCATGCATAGGAACGATGCTGTCACATATGTTGTATTGCTTCTTTCATCCATTTATTTAGAGATTCATGATAAAATCCGAAGAAGAATCTGCAATATTATTTCTCCTGACTTGGATTGTCGGCTTCATTTACTTTCCCACCGCTGTAACGTAACTTTCCAGTACATTTTCTATAAATACTTTGGTGGTAATTCTTCTGATAAGCTTTCCTCTTTGGTACAGAAACTTGATGAATTTAAGCGTAGTACTGGATTGGTAACAAGGTCTAATCAATTCACAATTGAATTAGCTAGATGTAACCGTAATTTCTAAGCTAATACTTTCTCTCTTAGAATTCTCGTACTTGGAAGTCTCTCTAATAAATTTTGATCTTCAACATTTAAATGCAATATCAATCGTTATTATTATTATTTTTCATAATTACTGTATATTTATTGTTATCTCTTCTAAATAATGTTTTCTTTTTCTCATATTCTCTTGCACTGAGTTAACACTTATGACTTGGAGGTTTTAATGCCTTAATTGGGGTGAAATGACTTTAAGAAAGCATTTGTAATAGCATCAATAATAATAAAAAAAAAACACCCTTAAATATATTATTTCAAATTTGTGTTAATAAAATTCTTATAAAAACTATCACGTATAGAATGTAAATTCTTTGATAACAATATAATATACATTATAAATTGGTCGTTAATAGCATTATCACGTCTTCGTTATTTTGGAACGATATCCGTATTTAAATAGACGCTTCATTTTTTTTTCAAACATGTTTATTTCGTATACCAGTCTAAGCCCACGAATAAACTTAATAATTAAAATATACCCTCTGTTAGTATTTGTATGAGTCCACCATTAGAATAACATTTGAACTAACAAAAATATATATGATCAAAAATTAAAATACATTAATTGATAATAGCAGTACTGGATATTAATTGCTACTGAAAATAATATAAAACATTAAAAGCACAATTTTATTATAGAATTACATTGTAAATAATGTACGATAGGTCGATGTCAAAAATAAACATGTAAAATAGCGGTTACTGTTAGATGCGATTAAGATACACATTGTTAAGAAAATATGACTTTTATATGCGCACGTGTATTATCGTTAAGAATAATTAAAATTTATGGAATATCGTTCTTCCTATATGGTAGCGGGTTCTGGAGTATGATGAGGAAACAGAAATGAGGTTCGACAAATAGATGCTTAAAATACCCTGATCATGTGAGCAATAACATAGTTGTAGGAGAAAATGGAAAAAAAAATGTACATTTATAATTAAAAGTAGAAAAAAGCATTTGAAATTTCTAGGGCCCACAATGAGGAAAGAGGACTTAGAAAAATTGACACTCACAAGACATATTGAATGCATGTTGGAGAGAGGAAAGCATCGCGTGACTTATCTAATGAGCTTGTGTATGTAGATAGTAGAAGAGCTTGTGTAAATTAATGGCAGAACAGCTTTTAGGTAACAAAAATATAAGAGCTACAAAGCACAGGAAATTGTGGAGAGGAATGATCATCTACGTCCTGAAGGGAGAATGCACAGAAAAGAAGAAACAGATGAAAAATAAGTTGAAGCGTCGAAGAATAATTATTGTAACAGGAAGGAAATTCCATGTGGTACAATGATATATCTATTGCTTTTACAACAACAACTAGACTAACATATTTATCGAAAAAATTAATTTACATAAGGTGAATTTAATATATGCCTATAATACTCGATATATAGCCGCTCACCTCATTAGCAGAAACATGCAAATCTGTAAACATATATTGTCTGTGCCTAGAGGTTAGTTACTGTAGATTAATTTCTAAGAGGGAGATGTCTTCAGTTTTCGATTTCTCTCACTAAGGGAGCAATTGCTGAGAGAGTCTTCTCTGCAATCTTAATTATTAAAATTGGGCCTCATTTGTTTAAAAAGCCTTGAAAAAAAAGAGCAGCAAAGAAAAATTTCTTTGCGTGCTCTAGTATGTAATGATCCTAGACCAGATGTATTTATCAGATGAAGAAATAACATGCACGACCTGGCCTTCCAATGGCGTGTAAAACAGATCAAAGAATCGTGTGGCTTTCTACCAACCTAATCGGATACGAGGAGAACGCTTACACAGTACATTAAAAAGTGCCGGATTTCACTTCATCTCTCGCCAAATCTCTCTGCTCCTCTCTTTTTTCTCCTCCTCTTCTGTCTGTTTGTCTATCTATCTATTTATCTATCTATCTATCTATCTATCTATCTTTCTTTCTTTCTTTCTTTCTTTCTTTCTGTCTACAGCTCTAATTGATAAGTCTGTCACAATATGCTTTAGTTTTACCCATTTCCGTCTCATTTGTATTGCCATATATGATCGAGAGTGATAATTATTTTGTGTCTATTTATCCTTACAAATAACCTTTTTTTATGATAGTTAATATTAAAACAAATACCAGTAAAAGATAAATATACAACCACCTATTCACTTCAGATTTCTTTCTTCAATAATAGAGTTAATCCAATCAATTGTTGTATAATCATTTGTCTTTGGACGTTCTCCATATACCTTAGCACCTTGCAAATCTATTTTAAATTCTTCTTTCACTACCAACAAATAAACTGTTTCAGGCGATCTTTCGATTTCTCGAAAATATTATATGATACATATGCACAGCAGTGGCGTTTATGTCCGGAAGGACGAGCCAATGGCAAGAGGATCATTTGTTTAGTTCGAAAATGAAGTTTTTTGTGCATTCGACTTTGTTTATTGAACTGTTTTCTATATGTTTATCCTTTATTGACCCACTACTTTCCAGGACTGTAACATATTGGACAAATTATCTGACAGTATAGAAATGTCCCTCTCTTTAGTTATTCATAAGGCAACATTTTTCTGTTTGATGAGATTCATGTTCATCGTTCCAAGTGGCTTAATCATTGCAGTGTAACCGATGATGACGGCATTCAAAGTTTCAGTTTCACGTTGCTCAGTCACACAGTCAAATAGTGGATATCCGTACTTATTTCCCTAATAATTCTGAAATTAGTTTGTTTCTTACCTCACCTCTTCGCACTTGTTGAGCATCGCAACACTGTCTTTTTGACAATTCGGATCAAGCTGTATTTTCTGTTGATATTTCTTTTGAGACGGATCTCCTATTCACCAGACTTTTTCTGTTACCAGAACACTAGTTGGGATTCATTGATATAAGTCTAAACAGCAAGACGTAACCTAAGTACTATTCTCGCACCTCAGGTCTGTACTAGGCTGATACCATTTGCTTAAATGGTCGAAACCGTGTTGTTTACAGTCTCCCGTATGCTAATGTCGGACGACTCCTGTTGTATTCTTTGATTCACGCCATCTAGAGAGATTCACTTGTTTACTTTTTCATTATCTTTTCTACTCAGAAGCCAGTTTTTTGGGAATTACCAATCTTGCAGTGTTGATGTTTCTGATAAAGAATTTCTTGTCATTCTTCAAGTCTCCACTTCGTAATCCTGTTCCTGATATCCCTTGATATTATTAATGTTGATATTATTAGCATTTTTGTGAACATAGCTATGCATACAAACTAACATACAAGAATCTTAGTAAAGTAACCTCGAAACGTTAATCGGCATCATAAAGAACGACGTCCCTTTCCAGATTATTATCATTGGCGGCACAGAAGCATTATCAAGCATGGTATACGGGAATGATTTTTTATACTTCTCAAATGATATTTTCTATTCCATCCTGGTATGAAAACGAAGTTGATTGAATCAGCTTTACGTCTTTCTACAAAAACAATAAACATGCGGGAGTACATCATTTTTTTTTTAATCTAAATCGAAACCCAGTGTTTCTTTGTCATAGACCAGAGCTCATTTAAACACAAAAATAACATTTGAAGACCACCCACTAAGCATTCTATCACCTAACTAATAAAGCGTATATTTTATCACTTTAAAAGTTTCATATATTATTGTTTACATTTTATTTTTTCATTGCAGTAGTTAAGTGCGCCCTACATTGGCTATTAAAAAGCCACGCGGATATGTAACAAATAAATGCTTAGAAACATGAATGACTTTTTCATTGAAGCATTCGCATTAACATCATGAGCTGTACAGCAGGTCAATTTTAGAACTGTGATATTGCACTTAACTTGGCAGTTGTGGTTTGGCATGATATATAATAACACAAATTTTTTTTTTTTCAAATCTTTAGCGTTTTTCGAGGAGATTAATTTAAACATTAAGTTTCGGTTGAAAATCATAGCGCAGGAATTTCATTCAGGTAATCAGTGAAAAACTTATAACACAGCCTTATACAATTTATAATTTAATGAAGCTTTACAAATTGAATATGGAAAAGATTCATGTCGCAAGCACGTTATTACAAAATCATTGTACCATCAGATAAGACCTTCATTTAATTCAAAGGGAAAATAATGATGAAAAATTTAGCCATATTAAGATGTAATGTGTCGTACAGTGCAGAAGTTTTAGTGTGTTTTTTAACAAAACAAACCACATTTAAAACATGTTATCTCATTATGTGCGCTCAACAGCATTATGACGTTATATACACTTTTATCTCGTTTTTGTTCTTATCAATTATGATCTAACAAATTTTCTAACAAATTTCATTCATTGATAGTCTTTTTTACAATCTTTTACAGTTTTTTAATACATTAAATATATATATATATATATATATGTGTGTGTGTGAAAAGTGTAGATAAATATAAATAAATATAAGTATGTATAATTATTTATAATATTATATGCGCGGTACTTATTAGAAAGCGCTCAATATCAAAGATAGAGCTAACATATTTGTGTGACGTCCCTAAACACAGCCTTCGCTCGCTCCTCGCTGCTTCGTTCGGGTGTCGCCGGTCCAAACGTGACGTCCGCCTGTTTGCATCAGTCGTGTTGTCCCGTCCTGTGACGACCAACTGGCTTGGTATCGGTCGCGGCACCCAAATGTGACGTTCTAACCTTTTGGTGATTCGGATGGGAATCTGGTTAGATTCGATATCAGCCTCGTCGTTCCCAACTCGCTTCCAACGTCTGGTTACCAAAGTAACTGCGTTGATCTCCAGTCTGCCAACCCACGTTGTGAATTGATCTTAGGCAGACGAAATCAATCAGTAGTTGGGGCCGTAATGCAAATCGAGTTCAACGAGGGTGACACAACACAAATATGCATAAAAGAAAAGAAAATGATAACTCAAAAGTTCAAGGCATCAAAAAAAAAGGATAACAAAACTTTATGTCTAGTTGCTGGATACATAGGACTGCGTCTATCTCCCGACCCGTTATATGGATTGTGACACGTTGTTTGTTGTTAGGCGAGTTTTAACACTTTAAGTTGTCTGTTCTTCAAGAAATTGGTTCTTGGTGTGTCTTCAGGCGAAAGTCGAAAAACTTATTTTGGTGGTGTGGATCTAAGTCGTTCTTCAAAATAATTGTTCTTGGATTGAAAATGAGTCCGGAAGCTGCGCGAATCTTAGTCAGCTGCGAGGCCTGCTTCAACTGAGCGCTCTGAGCTCTTCGGGAAACTCTGCCCAACTCAAGTCTGGATTGAACTCCTCTGAACTGTACTGAACTGTTTCTACTCTCTTCTGAACTGTGTCATTTCTGCTCGCTGCGACTTTGCTTATATGGACAGCGATCAAAACCGGGGTGGGTTTTGTCGGGGTCGGAGGTTCCTCGATAATTCTAAATACATATCAACTTCTTTTGTTTTTGGTTAGGAATTTTCCACTTCTTTCCATTTTTGGGAGTCTTCTCTTACTCCCACCTTCTCACCATACATCAGAGGGGCGTCAACTGTCCTCCCCACTTCTTCGTAGCAACCTCTCATACCCATCCTCTAGATGGGCGGCGACAGCTTCCCTCCTTGCGTCACGTGATCACCACTCGGGCAATGATGTCCAGCCGGGCGTGTGCGGTCCAGCGGGGTTTGTTTCAGGAAAAAAATATATCTTGCTCAAAAAAAAATTATCTTTTTCTTTTCCTTTTCTTTCCTTAATCGCAGCTCTCATTTTCTCTGGCCGCCAACAGCACAATGCGATCAGTGGGGTCATAACCCCTGTTCTCATCTGGGCTTCGTCAGTCAGATTTCCGCTAATTATCAGAATGGGTGGTCAGGAAAACATCGTCCTCTCGAAAAAACAGCTCCATTGTTCTAGTCATGCTTGGTGCCAATTTCTGATAACATAGTTTTGTTATCACAGCCAAAGATGTCTTGTCAAAAAAAAAAAAAAAAAAAAAAAAACGGTCAGTGTGCGGCTTAGCAGACAACACAGTTAATTTTTCATATCTATCCAAAGCTCTGCGTTTCACCTGTTCTTTGTCAATTATCAAAATAACATTTTCAATTGGAGTTTTCTTGGCTAGTCGGTCTGTGGTTTGCTAATTAGATGTTTTGCCCGCATTAATCGGCTGTTATCTATCCCCGATAACACAAGTTCGTCGCCAGAACATAGTCGATTCCCTTATCCACTTAGAACTTTTCTGCCATGGTAATGACACTTTTCGCCATTTGCTACTTATCAAAATAACATTGTCAATTGTCTCTGGTCGTGGGTGTTTTTTTATCATCCACGCTTGGGTCTCGCCTCTCTTTTCCTTTCTTTCCTTTCTCTTTTTCCTTTCTTTTCTTTTTTCCCTGGTTAAATGGTGCCACTTTTTGGTTGGATAGATGTGAGTTTGTGACCCTGGGTTTCACGCTTTAGCGATCGTCTCACATCTATCCAACAAAATATATATATATATATATATATATATATATATATATATATATATATATATATATATATATATATATATATATATTGCTGGGGATGATTCATAATTAGAATTTGCGTTTGAATATATTTTCCACTGAATGTATCTAAAACAAAATTATCAAATTTAATTGGATTTATTCTTTAACAATTATAATTTTGAAGTTAGGGTGTAAGCAAGAACCATGCGGATATTAAGTATTTCCGTACATGTTTTCAGGCTATATTTAAAACTGAATGCTCAAAAATTGGTAAAAGGGATAAATCTAAGATTTGGGTGCAATCTTTATCAGCATAAACCCAAGACGTTTCAATGAGTGCTATGATTACTTTTCCAAAACTTTAAAAATCAACATGCCCTAATGGGCACGGAAAATGAACGTGTAATGTCACCGGTTAAGCTTTATCAGGGGAGGCTACTGTTAATTATTCTCGTGGAAATACTGCGTGTTGATAAAAAGAGACAAAGATTGTTTTCTTCAGAATCCAGGTAAACGAATAAATGGAATCG